ATAGAGTTGACAGTTATGTTCGTCAATGCGAGACATTGCAAAAGCATGACATTGAGTATCATCAGTAACTGGGCGAGAAAAATATGTAAGTGACTTGTGTCAACAACTCGCTGAACAAGATCTGTACCCTTTATGAATCGGATGTATCGTTATTATTCCTTTCGCAGATGGTGAGACGTGCTGCGAAGATAAAAATAAATGTGAAGAGAAGGAAAGCTCGCAATCACAGATAATACGAACGTTACAGAAATTCGTAGGCAGTCCAAAATTAGAATTCAACAAGCAAATATTACAGGCAGTATCTTGACCAGGGGCAGACGTCTTGTTGTTGGGAATGACCTCGTTTTGAGAAATATTTAATTGGAGGAAATTAGGAGTAGGATAATACACAAGGACACCGATGATAACTGTCGTGTGCTTTTTTTTAGAATACATTTTAATGACTGTAATAATTAATTATTTTGATGCCAGTTGTCATTCCACTGCCAGACGAACGCATCCCCACACCATGTTGGTCATGAGGGATGTGTGACCATACTTCACTGTGCTGGTCACTGAGGAGTGGCGGGGGGAGGGCAGGGTGGTGGGACTCAGGGGTGCCCAGGACTGGTTCAGATACCACTGTCAGGTCTAAATGTTCATAGCACAGTGCCAACCACTGTGCCACCGCTCCACCTCATGTGCTATTACATACACGATGTGTACATATATGCAGTGTTCCTGCGGGTGTTAAGAGCAACACTTTCTCATCTGGATTTTTAGGGCTTTAGAAAAATTGAGCCTCTACATCCTTAAATAAAAAAGATTAACCCGTAAAAACAAAGTTTTTCACTATAAATCCTTTATATGCGTGGCGGCTAGAGTTCTCTCGTCCTCTGGCTTGAGATGGCTGCCACCTATGGGTCAGATGATTGCCTGCCACCATTAAGCAATTGGTAATTAAATATTTAAAAAAATTCCTAAAAAGTGTAAACATTTGGAAAAAAAATGTCACGAAAATTAATTGTCACGCACAACGAGTCTGTGTGCAAAATGTCAGCTCGATTGAATCACGGGAAGTGGGTTAAAAAAACGACCGAAAGATTTGCACGTTCGTAAACGCGCAAGCAAGTGAACTTAATATAAAGGATTTAAAAAGAACAGATAATCAATTTACTCCAGTTTGGTTTTTATCTCAAGTCATCCGTACAAACGTGTGCCCTAATTGGACGCATCGGGTATTTATGTTGCGATATCATGGCGACTGTATTAAGAATACTTACAGTCTTAGAGGTATTTATGAGGTGCATATTGACAATACATTTAGATAAAGCACCGAGATGATCTTATCTGGCACTCACTTGCCATCCTATCTCAGTGGGGTGACGGAACTGTTCTCATGAACTCACCTTAGCAGCAGTTTTTGCTGTTCGTGGAATTGATTCTGGAATTGATTCCTGAAAGTTTTTTTTCTTCCCCTGAGTTATTTGACTGCAGAGAAACGTTAAATGCCAAGAATTGTTGTGTGAAGACTAAGCGACAGTTTGTATCCTCAGAGAGACAGACTCATACATAGGAAGTTTCCTCAGCTAGGGGTAGCTAAGCCTCTTTCCTCTTCCCACGCTTAGAATTCATATTCTGGACCGTGCCTCTGAGGCATGGAGCCAAACTCATTGACACTCGAAAGCCAAGCGTAAGAGGTGCAGCCATTAAGTGTCTCTTGAAAGTCGGTGTAGATTGAATGCTGGCACGAATGTGCAGAGGGTTGGCATTCCAGGAGCTGCCACAGAGAAATGACACCTGGAAGTGACCATGGTCCCGAGTATAGAGAGGTTGTGGGTTACGCTGCAGACAGTTCAGGAGTGAATAGAGATATGGTGGGCAACTAAATGTAGAGGTGTGGTGACACAGGCAGGTAATCTTGTAGCTGACCCTGTTAGCGATGGGAAGCCAGTGGAGGGAGCGGATGGAGGGGAGAAAATTGTTGCTGAAGATGTCAGGCACTGAGGACGGTGTGGGTGAGATGGTTCTGCAACCGATGGAGCGTCTTGAGATTACTCGATGAAGACCAAAAAAGAAGTTAAAGTGGGACCTGACTCTAAACGAAACTATTATTTTTTATTTTACCAGGTAAGGGCCACTGAGCAACAGCTTTTTCAGAAGCAACCTTGCCACAAATCATAGCTCAACGAATTGGCTTATAATGTGGAAATGCATGGCAGCCGTATACTCTCAATGCATGTTTGTAAATGTGGAGGGGAAAATCGGAGGACCCGGAGAAAAATCCACGCGACCACGGGGAGAACATGCAATCACCAAATATACAGCTGTCAGGGTTGGGATCAAACCCACGGCCTCCTGTATACCAGGCAAGGGAGTTAGGATTTCGCCACCATGGCACCCCGCTGCAAGTGAGGCTATTGCCGATTTCGGTGGTGGTGAGGGGATATAAATGAAAGAGGGCCCTGAGGTGTTGGTTGCAAGATCTGATTATGTGTTTGGGGTCGTTGTCAAAAGATAAGGTGGAGTCCAGAGTTTTGCCGAGGAACTTTATGTAGTTGGAGAATTGGATAGAGGAGCCAGGGATTCATAGATGAGAAGGGAGCGTAGGCACAGTGAGTTGCTGTCTGGTGCCGACCAGGATGCCTTCAACTGACTTCTTCTGTTATAGGAAGCATTCTAGTACAGTAAATAGGATTGGGTGTTCCAATGGCAAACCAAAATGTATGTTTCATAGTGCAATTTTAAATGACTGTTCGTAAAAGTTACATGGAAATCAATTACTCATATCATTCTAATTAGTGTTTTACATGTACTTACAGATGTAAGGGGCGTTATACTGGTAGGAACTTCCTGGTTACACCAGCCCACAGGGGATTATTGTGTCCGTCCGTCCGTCGTGCAGGGAGGGGCTGGGTGGGGAGGGAGTGGCTGGGTGGGGAGGGTGGGGAGGGGCTGGGTGGGGAGGATGGGGCTGGGTGGGGAGGGGCTGGGTGGGGAGGGTGGGGATGGGCTGGGTGGGGAGGGTGGGGCTGGGTGGGGGGTGGGAGGGGTGGGGCTGAGTGGGGAGGGGCTAGTCACCCCGTGGTGCCCTTATAAAACTCAACGTTGGCTTGTGCCCGCCCTCACAGTTGGGCATACACCACGCCGCCGTTGATCCTGGCCATTGACCATCGTTCCTATCAGCTCCCTCCGCAGGAATGTTTTTCATTAAAACCAGGCGAAGTAATTAACATCTTGCCACCACGGCGGTGAGATGTTAACTACCTTGCTGGTATACAGGAGTTTTCATGTTCTCCCCGTGGTCGCGTGGATTTTTCTCCGGGTCCTCTGATTTTTCCCCCCACGTTTAGAATCACACGTTTAGGGTATTTTCCTGCTATATTTTTCCACATGATAAGCCACTTCGTTGAGCTATCATTTGTGGCCAGGTCGCTTCTGAAAAATATTGATATAGCTCAGTGGACCTTATCTGGTAAAATAAAAAAAAAATGTTTATAGTTTTAAAACCACTGCTTGTTACAAACAACAAAATCCCATTTACAAACTACGTGTGCCTGCTTGGAAAATAGATCGTGGTTGGCCCTTTCTCCATTCGAGGCTCGTATGCAGCATTCGATGCCGTGAGCTTTGTTTGATGCAGGCACAAGTCGCACGTGCCATTCAACCGCATGAGTGATTGCTTCTCCAAAGTCAAAAGCGATATAAAACTTCATCAGAGTAGAAACTCAAAAAGGCCTCGGTGCCAAGTGGGCTGTGCTGAATCCTGCTGAGAATAGCAAAGAGACTGACAGCTGACACAACCAATGCTGGCAATAGTCAGTCTTGCTGGCCCAAGGCCACATAGTCATGCCCTTGCACTGATACTGACCACCCCAGGAATGCGTCACAAACAGGACGAAGAAAAAGTAATTAATGTTCAAATTGTCATGAAGAGAAGTCAGCATTTCATTTCACTGATGAAGGGTGAGCTACCAATACTAACAATACTGTAATGAAACATGCATTGCCTAAATGAGGCCTACAATAATAGATTGTGGAATAATTTTGCTGATGCCTGGGTTTATTTAGAAGTTCTCTCCAGCTGTAGTTTGTCATGAGTGAGGACAGTCTTTCCTTAAACACCTTTTTAATGGTTGAAAACAATAATTATATTATGTGTAAACTGTAATGTTAAGTTTTCCCATGGAACAAATTCGCAACCCTCAATGAGGTATTGTGTTTGATTACATTGGCATCACCTTACACAGAATCAGCGTAATCATATTCATCTGTGCAAATCATGCTCTGTACTCCCATAACGGTGGCTATTATCTCTGATAGAGGTGTTTTATCATGTAAAAACACACAAACTAGAAATACTTCACTGCACCTTATCGGAAAGTTGATTAGAGTAAATTAAAGTTAATTATCAGCATGATTAGCATTCTGTTTAAGAGTTTCAAGTGTATTTTGTTAAAGGAGGTCAGAAACTCAAGAGAACAGGATGTCCTTATTTGTAAGAGTGACCTGGGGCATTGGGCTGCCTGAAGGAGTGATGACTGCCATATATAATCCCAATTGAGTAATTCATGGGTTATTGTCAAATTTGGCAAATATGGACCCTGATGCTGGCTTACAATGACCCACTCTTGGAAATTACATCAAGGGCTCTATGTATTATGGTGCATATTATGTTGGTTATTACAACCGCAGTGAAAATCAGGGCCACTGCTGGATTCAAACTGTGAACTGTTGCAACAAGTGGCAAACGCTCTACGGCTAAGCCATGCCACTTGCCCAAGAGTGTGTTGAGTTGATCTGTACAGAAACCCTTCCATGATGCTTCGTGCAATCAAAACCAACATGCAGATTTCTACTCCAAAGTAGACGATTACTTTGTGTTTCCTATTTACAGTACAATGCACAACCAAGTTAGATAGGGAGGGTTGCCTGTTACCTGCAGCATAGATCTCCCGCTTCTCACCAACCCACATGTCTATCTCCTCTCTCCTCTGTCCACACCGCCCACCCACAAACAGTGTTTCCCAGATGTTGTGCCAGTGTGTGGCTCCGACGGGCTAAGCTACCAGAACGAGTGCCACCTGCGCCAGACCGCGTGTCGCTTGCAGCGCATCATCACTCAAGTTGCGCCCGGACCCTGTTACACCGGTGAGGGCGTATGTTCGTACACACGCACACGGCACATCCACACGCTTGTGCCGGGCACCACCAGACGAACCATACGAAAGCTCATCGATGTGTTCTCTGGATGTACCATGTGTTGTTTGGTATTTTGTCCAACGTTTCGCTCCATGTGCTGAGAGCCTCTTCAGCAATTGAACACCTTGCTGGGCAACACATGGCACAGCCCGAAAACGCATCGGAGAGATATGCAGCACAACCGCGAAAACCTGGTATTGTCCGTTTAGCTACGCTACATTAATGGCCCTTCATTTATCTGTAATGCCAGCAGACAGCAACTGACAGGCCCTGAGCACAGCCCATTATTTGACAGTGCCTCTTTCCTTGCCTCACCTTCATATTCTAGGATATTTTCTGCACAACCACAAAGCAAAAAGCAGTGTAGAGCATTCGTTGGTATATTTGTATGCCTCATTAATTTTCGATGGCCTTAATTTTTTATTAAACATCTTTCCTGTGAATATTTCTGAGTGCTTGTTTGAATAAGCGGTGTGCTTGTTGCCAGGTAGTGTAGATGCTACACTCATTGCCATGTAATTATAATACCTATAGAATTAAGAGATTTCAATGTGATTTAAAACCAAGTACTGTATGTGTAAAATATGTAATTTATTTGTACCTAAATGTACCAAAAACATACTCAGGTATTTTGCTACTACAAATGTAAGATATTCAACACATTAAGCGTTAATGCTTAATTGGCTGGGGTAGGACTTGCAGGTGAGGGTTCGGGTACAGGATCACATTCCAGAGGCTGGCCCTCATTTAAATTCAATCCTTCCAATTTTCTCTTTTTCAAGAGGGCTTACTGTACTTAAATTACAAATCACATATACAACTGTACACACATGGTTAATGTAGATGCACGTCAATAGACACGTAGAACATATATCAGTTGTTTTGTTTGTTATACAAACTATGCTATAATGCATTACAATAATATAGATTCAAACAAAGTATCAGGATTATGTATACTTGTAACAGTCTAAAAAGATTGTTTTTGAACATGCATAGCTAAAGTGTCGTTTTAGTTACTTTTTCAAGGCATTTGTAAAGTTTCACATTGCCTTAATTAATTAGACTATGCATCCATTAATTTGCAGTCTATTCAAATCTAGTAGCACATCAATTAGTGTTTTATTCTATAATTTATTGACTGTGCAGCAAATTAAATTATGTATGTACTTGAGCATTAATAATGTGCTAATTGATGTCAGGAACATCTGCGTTAGATGTACTGTACACCATCGCCATAACTGAACAATGCCCCATTTGAAAAATGCTACTAATATGCGGGCCATGAAAAATACAAACTGTAATCTCCATACGAAACAAGGCAGATACTAACAATGTTAGCAGTAAGGTACAACACGTGAACCAATGCATCATTCTGGCCAGGAGTTTTCAATTTACAGAAGTCTCCAACCCCCAACCAAATGCACCAGGGCCAGGTCACACATAGGATGGAAGATCTTTCCGTATTCAGTAAATGGTCGTCCTGTAACTAACAATTTGCCCCTTTAAAATATGATACATTGTCACGACTCACGGTCACGATTTGAGTCTAGCATAAAACAATATTAATTGTCGTGAATGTAGCAGCCTCTGTAGCAGTTGTGGTTACATAAACCTGTATGCAAAATGAAATTATGGATTTTCACATGCATTATTCAATGTAATCACCGTGAGCATAATACATTAAAATCCATACATCATGACTGTATGTGGGAGAGACAAACATCATGTTTTATCTATGCCTTAATATATCATTACACCCCAAGTAAACGGACTATTGCAGACCCCTGAAATATGTCAAAACAATGCATCATGCAACAGCGACCACTTGCTTGTCACTCCGTGTCAAATCACTGACCACGGGTAGGACAATCTTTTTTTCTGAACACTGTAGTGGTATATCTCGCTGTGCAACCTTGTGTTAAATTGTGCACTTTTGTAGACTCACGTATGATTAAAGTATCATGTAATGAGTATTTTAATGCAATCACTTTACGTGCGTGGCATTGTCATGAGGCTTGAACCAGCAGTGGAAACATAGCTCAAAGCCCCCAACAAAACCCCACCTCAGATCTAGCTCTTGGTATGCAATACTATGCATATTCACCCACCCATGAGTCAAATCATGAAACAGTAATGGGTCGGCTCAACATGTCCTCCCTGCTGCTAAAACATGGCGTTAACAGTGTTTTAACATCAATCGGGTCTCATTCTTCTTTGTCTTATCCTCATTATTTTGACTCACATGATGAATAGTGGTCAACGTAGTCATACACAGAGAACAAGGCCATGCACGCGAAATTAAGATGAATCACGGAAATACAGATGTTAGGCATCAGTTGCTATGTTAAGAACTTTGCTACACACACATAGGAAATAATGAGAATAAATATTCAAGCCGGGATAATTATGTCAAGACTTGTGAATTTAGCAACTCATTATTGTAGGATTAATGTCCTCCAAACAATGATTATAAATGCTCTTACCTTTTAATTCTGCTTCCTACTACAAATTATTATTGTGATTGGCACTGTACACTATATATTTAAATCACTTTTAGACAGGCTCTCACCAACAACTGCACACAAAAAGCATTGCATCTGTGGACATATTAAAACGTGTATACACAAGAGAGAAATGTTATAATAAAGTGATGGACATTTTATTGAACTTTTAAACTCATAATGTCCCTTTGCTATGCACTTTTAGAAAGATCCTTATATATTTTAAAATAGTATCTAAACAATAATTATGTTACTACATGCCACGTTATATTATTTTATTGCCAAAAAAATTTGCACCTATCCAACTTGATCTCTGATATGAATTGAGCTGTGTGACTTGTAAACTAATAATGATTAGCAGCAGCGCAGGCACAAACATTCATATATAGAATGTTGCAAAGCACTATATCATTCAATATCACTCCAAATCATCATCATCACCTGTTTCACCATTGCCATCTCAATCTCTGTTCAGCAATACGAAGGCCAATAAGTCAATGCCAGTTCCTAATAAGGCCACACCAGGCTTTTACTATTTTAATTTCCTTCCACAAAAGTGATTCCAAAATAAAGCTGTATCTTAAAATACCTATTACAACAGGGTCTTTGCACTTAGACCTTGATTTCACGTATCTCTGCTTTTCCTCGGGGTTAGCGAATAATGCAATGGTATAAATCCTCCCATTTGCCTTTCAGGAATGTGAACAAATCCAAAGACACTTTTATCTGAATTGTTACAGTCCGCTCTAACAGAGAGCTCATTAGTTTAAACTTGGTCAAACCATATATTGTTTTTAAAGTAGACAAGGCTTTAGAATTATTTGAGTTTTTATTATAGTGTTAATAAATTGGCCAGGCAAATGATGACCATCTGCAAATAACTGCACTCACTGAATGGTAATATGATTAAACGTTTATGTTATTACTGCCTAAATTAATGAACATGCCAAATTATTTAGAATTTTTTTCATGTATCTCACCACACAATATCTGTCCATCCCACCTGACCATAGATGTATCTATCTTGTAGCATTACAAAGGTCACAGACAAAGTCTAAACATTGTACCATAATAAAATCACAAATCCAAACATTTATTAATTTAAAAATCCACACTTATTAGTAGACAAATTGGACTTAATCCAGTCCCTGAGTTTTTTTATATTATGCACTTTACACAATAGCTGTAAAATTCCGTATCCACATTTTTTAAAAAGAAATCAAAGGCTCCAAGGTTTATCCTGAGCACATGCACATGCACAAATAATAGCTATGGCCCTATCCAGTATGCCATTGTATAATTCCATCTTTTTATATAAATGCATGACAAATATGAACAAAAACTGCAGTAAAGAGGATGCATATTTAAACAAAAAAATGTATATAATTTAGAGTCATCCTATTGGTTTTATTTCATGGATAATAATTTAAAGACCCCAAAGAGTAACAAGTTAGGTTTACACTCTTCCAAAGCGGCTTTAACGTAAAAACATGTTTAATGGTACAGAGCTCATTTACATCCACAAGTGTCTTTTTACACCCACAAGTGCCCTATTTGGTTGAGTGATTGGTCCCTGGAAAAGCATTCCAGAAGTGCTTCGAGATTGGAGCTGCAAACTGCCATAGAATTACATAGGAAGTACATGCATGGGGAATTGTATATGCTGGTGACTGCACACTGAAAGTGTCAGCTATAGCTGTGGCAGCAATGTCAGATCCCTGTCAACTAATATGCACATTCATAATTTATCATGCGCTGCGGAACACTCGCATGTAACTACTAATTTCCTCTCACTGCACCAGCTTTGTCATCTCCTGTGTGCTCATCAACATCATTTTCTAATTTCCTCTCAATGCACCAGCTTTGGCATTCCCTGCGTGCTCATCAAAATCATTTTCTGTCACAAAGTTTCTGCTGAAGACATTTCCATTGTATTCGTGTAACTTTTATCGATGGAACATTTAAATCAAGTTTTCTGAAGAGGTCTTCAGACAGATTACTTTGCAATATGATTGTATTTTGATGATTTGTTTGGACATTCATGTATTCATTATATTTCTCATTGTTATTTCTCTCTGAAAGCCTTTTTGCCTTTAATGAGTATTGCATTGGGATGTTTGATAATTCCCATTGAGGAGCATGTGTGTTTGTGTGTGGGACAAAACTGGAGAACTCAGAGAAAACATATTTACAAGGGGACAATGCTCAAACTACAGTACACATCAGCAACTTATTTGCTATGCTGCCATCTCCTGACCATCGTATAGCCAGTGCGTTTGGGACTGTCTTGATTCTGGATGATCTATGAACCCATGTCTCCGACAAACTGAAATGTCTATTCCCATGGGAGCTCTCAGGAAATACATATCCACACAGTGATGCTATTGATTACCTGGGTGAGCCCATATGCCTTTCCTTTAACCCTCTTAGTTTGACACATTTTCATGCTGCTTGGCTTCACCTCGTTGTCTCCCTGCTCAAGAGTTATTTAATATTCACGTGACCATGATGTTGCACCTTTTTGCACGTGTTCCAAAACACACGTGTGGATGTATGGTATTGTATAACTTTATATTTTATAGTTAACAAGATCAAGATGTCATCGATGCCACCGCACCTTACCAATGTTTTCTATCCTCCGTCAGATCCCAGAACTGCTGCACAGTAGATGCCCAACACCCAAGATCTGTTAAACAGTATCCCACCATCTGGTCTTAGGTCTTCCCCCGAGTTGCCAGACTCATGGAAAAAACTCTAATTGTCCCTCACCCATCTGGTTTCTTATGTATTGGTCTCTTCTGGACTTTTGCATTGCTCATCATGTTTAGCCACAACATTTCTATCGCCTTTGCTGAAATACCAATACATAATGTTTGAGTTGCTGAGTTAGTGTCCAGCTCTGTAATCCATACACCGAGACTAATCTATTTTTATCTTCCACAGAGGTTTCCATAGTCCATCAAAAGAGAGAGTTATGGCCCTGCTTTGAGTATTTAAATTCTCAACAACACTGCCAGGACACTCTTACCTTGGTTTCTACACCAAACCAGCAATATCCACTTTATCTTATTATATATTGTGCTTGTTTATCCAGAAAAGGCTCACTGAGCCTCAAGACAATTTTTTTCTGGAAGACCCTGCCAATTTTTTTCAGTCGGAGGCAATTATTTCTATGTATATTCCAATTGAATTCTTTGCAACTACATAATACTGTAATTTCAATGTATGTATGTATGTATATTGAACTTCTTTCACACTGTACGTAGCCAACCGTGCTAATCAGAGGTGCAGATTTGGACCATGGCCATTGACACACAATGGCCTACTCTTGCAAATGTTGTAATAGGATATTTAATGGCCACTGTGAAGTAGACGACGCATGAGTGGTATGGTTAATACACCCACAGTATCAAAGCAAGGCGGTTGCTGGACATCTAACCGTGAACCTCTTCAACAAACGGGGAACGCACTACCGCTGGGCCATGTCACCGTCCATCTGCCATAAAATGATTATAATCATTCCCAGCACAAGCATAACTTGCTCTGTGCGAGAGTGATGGAAGATGACAGAGTTTAAGCAGTCATTTCTACAATGTAGCTGACAATATACAGGTTATCAATATCCCCTTTGGATAAAACTACACATGAGTTCACTATGGCACAATTTACCATTTTCAGGAAGGTCTCACTGTTAAAAGTTTTTTCTCTTTTATTTCAGAACTCGGCTCAGGATCAAGTAATGGAGGTGGGTGCTTGTCTCTTGCTACAATAGTTGCTGTTATTAAATCTTCAGCCATAGAACAAGTCCTCTGAATTCACCTGATATACATTCACTCATTATATGTAAATTAACATCTAATATCAACGTGCCGGAAACAATATTTTTTACAGTTTCTTCAGAATCCTCAGTTAAGGATAAAAAATAATAACAGCATCGGTCACTTGTGATGGCACGGCATGGCATGGGATTATTGACGGACATAAATGATCACATCAGTATATAAAACATCACTAGCAATGGGCCATATCATCTGTTAATCACATTGTTTTAATGGTCAAAAATCAATACAGCTAACCGGTATGTGCCAGTATCTGTTTAAGTATTGCAACACAATTAGAGTATGTGTAAAATGGAAGAGATGGGCAATTATTCAACAAATTTGGGAGTGTTATTCAATTTATTTGATATTGCGCCGCACGTATCTTCTGCCTATTCGCAACTCATGAAATATTTATAGCACAGTGCAACTGTAATAATTTGCGCATGTTCAGGATGGAGTTTCTCATCAAATACACATAATGTTCAATGGTACCAATTTTCGACTTCAAAGAGATAATTATTTTCTCATTCTAGGGCACTATTATACATAGTGTAGCCCACCATCAGTGTGGCATGTTTCGTTAAGCCTCTTTACAGCGACAGATATTTCACTTTAGGCGCAGTTGCGCGAGCTCTTCTCGCTGTTGCAGTGCGATGTGAATGTCAGCGCTGTGCCGAGGAACGCCCTGAAGCGCATTTTCAGCGCTCGCCGAGCTCCATTGGCTTCCTGTTGCCAAACGAATACATTACTATTATTACACGCTTTTTATTAACTCGCTTTGTCTGTTGTTGTCGTTGTTGTAGCCTCAAATCTTGTAACTACATTTTTACCCACTTCCCAATGTGGTATCGACTGCAAACGTGGTATACTTATGTCATACTGATGACAATACTATATTCTATCATACAAAATAAAAAAACATCTTTTAAAACGTTATTTTTTATATGTTATGTTTCGGCTTGGGTCTAATTGTCCACGCTCAACTGACGTTGGTTGTAAATCATCACGGTCCCTTACGTTATGGCAAGCTTCGGGGCCACTTCCTGGAATCGTGGAGTTCTTCCATTACTAGTACGGTACATTGTATTAAAGCGTGTTTAAAAAAAAAAGTATTTTCAAATATTACTTATAAGGTCGCACTCACATTGTACACAAAGTGCTTGCCACAAATGAACCACGATACCTTGCTGATCTCGTCAAGGGGCATAAACCATCACGCGAACTCCAGTCATCCTCACAGCGGCTCACTAACCGTCTGGCACGCTCTTCCTTCCGACATTAGGAAGCCATTTTAACACGTTGGCTTTCACGACCAATATCATCCATAATATAGGGTTTTTTGGGGGGCTTACAGCACGTAAATATAAATGTGTCGTTAAACCCGCCACCACCTGACACAGCCAATTAGTAAGGTTTGTCAAGTAAACAGAACATGGCAATTCGTTACTAGTGGCGGGTTTAATGACACATTTATATGTATGCGATCTAACCCAAAACAAACTATTATATGGATTAGGAAGCCACTGCAGCTATGCACTTAAATCAAGACTGAAAACTCATTTCTTTAGAACTGCTTTTTTGTGTTTATACTCTTTGGTTCTTTCGGTAAAGTCACGTAGGTATAAAATAAAATAAATCACGACGTTTCGATCGCAACACAAACGGTCGTCCTCAGGCAGAAAAAATATAACCCAGCAGTGGATCTGTGTTTAGTTTGCTGTTCTTCCCCCACCACTCTGATCAGCAAAGATGGCTACGTTGGGTGCGAAAGAAGTTCAACATACTTACATATAAGAAACATTTTTCTATTCACAGCCGACTATGAGGGGTCCGGGTCGGAACATTACAGAAAGTCGACCAAATGTGGGATTTGCCTGTACGGATCTGAATGCGATGAGGATGCTGAGGATATTGGGTAATGAACCTTCCATCTTCTTTAACATGCATGTGCTTCATCGTTGCTGACCCTCAAATTTCCATTATCATTCGAGGTTTTTTGGCAAAGATTAAAAAAAGTACGAGGCCAAGTCGTGTGTTGGCAGGAAAGCAGTTTCCACCTGAATTGGGTGGAAAAATAAATAAATCGTTGCTTTCTTTCCGTGTTTTTTTTTGCTGAAAATCTGTACAAAAATTGTTTCTGCTAACACATGAATCAGGCCCTATATTTTTTCTCGAGTGTGAAAAAAACATCACATTCCTGTGCTGCTCTGTGAAGGTTACTGCTGTGGCAAGATATATAGACAAATAGCTGAGGTGTGTCCTCTCTCAATGGGGTGATTAGCTCAAAAGTTACACCGTATTTGACTCATGATCCAGTCTCCTGACTATTCGCAGTGACATAAGAGTTATATCTATCTCACCTGCACATTTGATTCGGGTCTGTCAAAACATGTGTCCAAGTGGATTATGATGGAATGGTTATTTTTTTTCAACATTTTACCTCATGGAAGCCATATAAAAAACCATTGATTAAATGCACTAAGTTCAGAAGCTAAGATATGGCTAGCCATGTTCAGAGGGAGAATCACAAATTCGTTGTCAAGGCTCTCATCTTATCCACGCTCTCCCACCTGTGCCTTTCCATCACTCCAGCAGATGTTATAATCTCCACAGTATTCCCTTCTCCCTGACCCCTATATAACCCCAAGGCCACCTTCCCCCCTCCCCCGCCTGATGGACTGCACGTGCCTCCGGCCAGCAGGTGCGTGTGCAACATAGACTGCACGGGACACAACTCCAACCCCGTGTGCGCGTCAGACGGGGTGTCGTATGAGAACCCCTGCCTGGTGAAGGAGGCGTCCTGCATGAAGCAACAGCTCATTGAGGTCCGCTTCCTGGGGAAGTGCAATCCAGGTCGGTGTCAGACACAGGAATCACATTCAACCCCCCATCCATTCCCATCCTCAGATCACAGCGAGCGTTTGTGGCTGGCAGCCCCTGAACCTAAAGGAAGAGTGACTTTCCCTCCTGCGGTTTCTTCAGAGCTCCATGTCCTGTGGGTGACCCATGTGGTTGACATAGAAAATAAACCTTTTCTCCACATTACTGCCGACTTCTTGGGAGCACGTGACACACACGAGAAGGCTGTTGTCATCAAATAATGCAAAGATAAAGAATGTCAGTGTCAGCGTAATCACTACACGGTGTATATATGGTTACAGACGTGTAGTGGTGTTATTTCACACGGACAACTTCTTTTTATCCTGTGTCACTTTATTCATACAGAACTCATCGCGTTCAACACCATGTATCTCTGTCGCAACTCTTCCTCTTGTACTGCTCGTCTGCTACGCTCCGCTTGCTCTGTTAGCCTGCTATCTTGCACTCTGCCAGCTTCTCCACTGCTAGCCTCTTACTATACACTCTGCTAGCTTCTCTACTGCTAGCCTTCTCTTACTCACACTTAGGATTCCGCTAGCCTCTCTACTGCTAGCCTGTCTACCCTCACTCCTCCGACCTCACCCCTGCCTCCAGCGGGGGATCAGCCAACACAGTGGGAAAGGACAAGGTGTGGAGAGCGTGGTCCCGGACTTTTCTTGTCTTCACTCCAACCAACTCAACCCCTCTGCCTCACACGTTCCCCTATTATCTTCCTCCTCATTATGTGCCCCCAGATGGCCCTCATTAAGCCAGCGTCCTCCCCATGCCTCACGCACGTGTTCTCCCCCTTTTCGCCACTATCTCTCGCCTCCGTGGCGCCTACTCCGCCATTGCATTTAAAGCCAGCCAGTCAGTCACTACCTCTTTCCCTAATTGCTGGCGTCTCTCTGTCTGCTGTCACCCAGGCCACCCGCCTGCACCTGCTGCACCTGCTTATCCTCAGCTGACCTCACTGTCTGCAACCCCGTACATAATGCAACTGCTATTTGCAAACCCTGCGTGCGTTACGCCACTACATCACCCCCCCCCACCCCCGTGATGAAAAATCCAGCCGTCCTGGCTGACCTTATATACAAACCAAGTAACGCGCAAATGTGTGACACAGATTACAACAACAAGAACCTAACAACACAACAGCAATAAAAACAACAATAAATATGTGTGTATATACAGGTGTGTGCAATGCAGTCTGTCTTTTTGAACGCTCGCGCATTCTTCAACGAAAAACAGTCCTCCGGGAGCGGGTTCCCGCCGCCGGTCCATCACCATGAACCGGGTCCCGCACAGCCGGAGGAAGAGACGGCTCAGGGCTCGACAAGGAGCCGTGTCTCGTCTCCAATGAACTGTGAACCTCCCGTGGGTCCCGTTCGCACCAAAACTAGCAACCCGGTTGTGGCTGGTCCTCTGACTCAGACTCCAATGTCAGCCGGTCGGCTCGCCTCGCATTAGTTGTCGCAATCCTGTGGGTGTAAGGGAACAAGACTCCTGAGGCGCGTCCGCTTGGGGCGGCATGACAGGCTCGTCAAACGCATCTGACACAGGCCGTTTCAGGATGGGAGATGACGCATCGTGAGTCGGTGGCTCAAATTTCTTTAGCCATGATGGGTGCATATATCAGTGGAAACGCCCGAATTGAATACGCACGCACTGGGGTCGACGAACATCAACGACCTCTACTAGCCCTTGCCATGGGCGATGGAATTTGGGTGACGTGCTCAAGGGTCACCTGCATGGGAACCGGTACGGCCGACGCCTTGCCCGGCGGACGCATGCTCAATTTCACCAACGCGGGAGCCTTGGGTTCCCGTCCATACATCAAATAGAAGGGAGAATACCCCGTCGAGGTGTATGCAGCCAATCTATAGGCAGCCAGGACACTCGGAATGTGCAAATCCCAGTCGGTTTGTGCCAGCATTAACTCTGCGGACCTCTGACACTGATTTGGGGGTTGGCCACGTGCACACACAGCTCATCTTCTCGGGATCAGTAGCAACCCCCGACGCGCTAACCACATGACCCAAATACTTAACTGACATCTGTAGCAAGTGACACTTTTGTGGTTTGAATTTCAATTTAGCATTTCGCACCAGGAAAAAACAGCGCAGCCGCTGCAAGTGCTCATTGAAATTTTGCCAAAAAACAATGATGTCATCCAAATAAATGAGGCACGATTCCAATTGCAACCCAGATAAAACCAATTCCATAAGGTGCTGAAAGGTGGCCGGCGTGGAGTGGAGTCCCATCGGAAGGACATTGAAGTGATACAACCCCTGTGGTGTACGAAAAGCCGTCTTTGGTTTCAACTCCTCGTCCTAAGGCAATTACCAAAATCCCGACAAAAGATTAAGGGTCGAGAAGAATCGCGCACCTGACAAGGCGTCCAAAGAATCATCCATGCGCGGAAGTGGGTATGCATCCACAACAAAATCCTTATTAAGGTTCCTGAAATCCAAGATTTTTGACTAATACAATGGGCGCCCCCCCCAAGAGCTGGTGGAGGGAGAGAAAATGTCTTGCGCCAACATCTCCCCATCGTCTGCCGAATGCAATATGTTTCACGTAGGCTCAACCTGTGGGAATTAAATCGAATCGGAGGCGCGTTCCCCATATCAATATGATGCTGTAATGGGGTTGTCTGACCTATATCATATTTTCCGTTACTAAAAACGTCTTTAAACTCATGCAAAAGCTGGCGAAGTCGCGCCCGCTGCTCAGATGTCAATTCCCGACTTTCCTCACACAACCGGCGCAGCCACTCGGATTCATGATCACATACCGGCAACTCCTGTGCAAACTCCCCTGACATGCATGCCATCTGTTCCGTACCCACGGCCGCCGTCGCGTGTGCCAACACGATGCCTTCCTGAATGACGATCGGCGTATGCCCCGCATTAACGACTTTAATTATGTGATTGCTATTTGCCGACACCACCATTAGTGCCCCTACCAAAGAGGGTGTCCGCGACACCGCATTTGAGGGGGTCAACAAGACTCCCTCCTCCGAGTTCACCAAGGGAAAGTTTTTACACAGCCGTAATGGCACGAGCATCTGCGTGGCTGGTGGAACGCGTACCGTGCGGTTAACCATAGCCTGCACAACAGCATTGATCGCCGTATACTTTGTAGATGTTTTTAAAAAGTTCAGGCGCCATCCCAATGGCATCTCAATACAGCCCTTATCCAAACGAATGTTAAGGGGCATACTGCACAAGAAATCCGTGCCCAATAAGCACGGCACAGCCAAAGTTGTGGAAATTCAAAGAGGACCATCCATACGTACATCCCCTATTTGTATCGTAGCAATCATGCGACCCACAATCCCAAGACTACCACCGTTTGCCGCAATACATGGCCCATCCACCTGCTCTAGTGGCTGGGGTGAGGCCGGCAACGATTAAAAAGTCGACAGCGAAATGAGGGTAGCCGAAGCACCCGTGTCAATTAGCACTCGGACCTCCATCCCCTGGATAAGTGCCATAACGTCCGACGAACCCGGCACGGCACCGAACGCACGATATGCCAATGCACACCATTTACCATCATCATACAACCCATCGGGATGAATGGATACAGGGCAATGCTGCGCGGATGAGTGATGGGAATGAAACGGCCATATGCATGATGCGTCGCGACTCGCCTGTGGTCCTCAGAACGAGGAGAAGTTGATGTCATAGATCGCCGGAGCTCCAGGCGGACCGCCAACACACAGCCGGCATTTCCTGGCAATGTGGCCCATCCACCTGCAGTTGTAGCACCCGCGCGAAGCATATCCTTTTGGTGGTCCGCGACGTGGTGGCCACCCAACCGGTGACCGACGACCGTTCATCTCTGCACGTCGTGGACTTGAAGACCGTGCTGCGTATCCTGTGCCGCCATCGATGTCCGTCGTGTCCCCTTTCACAGTTGTGCATGCGATCGCCGCTGGCTCATCCCTGAGGCCCAGATGTGCTTGAATGTTCTTCGCAACTTGGAGGGATGAGAGGTCGTCGTCGTCGTCGGCGACGGAGAGGACGACCCCCAAATATTTTGCCACCATCAAGAGCCGCTCAAGAGCTGCCCGATCCATGGAGGGGTAGGCCGCCCATCCAAGGGCTAACAGAGCGCTGTGGAACGCCAAGGGTGACTCCGTGTCTCCCCGCTTTCTCAGCTGGAACTTCCTCCGGATGGTCGACTGTGGTTCGAAAATAGCCACCATCGGAGCACAGGCACCGGCGAGCGATGATCGATCGGCCTCGCAGATGGAGTAGAAGACAGCCAACGAGTCGTCGTCGAGGGCTGTCAGCAGGGCCCACACCGCCTCGCGCTCCGACCAGTCGATGGAGCGATACGCTGCTTCAAAGCAGCGATAAAATTCCGTCCAGTCGCCCTCGGTCGCGGAGAATGCGCGGACTTCTAGCAACCGGCGTAACGGAGCTGTACGCACCGTCGGCGAAGTAGATGTCAAGTCCAACACGACCACTGCATTAGCGGGTCCCGTGGCCACTCGCTCGGGCGCAGTCGGCGTTGTTGAAGCGATGTAAAGAGTAGTCGCATCCGTCGCCACCTCTGTAGATGTTGTCCGGCCTGCCGCTATCAGCATGTTGAACAAGTACGTAACTGCTGCCAACGTGGTCTCTAAGTGAGCAGCAACATCCCGCCAACTCCGTCTCGTCACGCTAACCGGAGTTTCCTCACGCTCACTCACTTGCGCCGAAGGCAGCCGGTCCTCTGGTTCCGCCGGCTGAGCAACATTCTCAGGAGCCGTGGCGGGAACAACCTCCTCGTCGTTCTCATCATTGGAAGAGTCAACAGGTGTGTTCTTTCTCTTCACCGCTTTCTTTGACATGGCGGCGCAGTTCTTTACTACTTCGACACCAAATGTAGTGGTGGTATTTCACACAGACAACTTCGTTTTTTTTTTCCTGCGTCACTTTATTCGTACAGAACTCATCGCGTATCTCCGTTGCAACTCTTCCTCTTGTACTGCTTGTCTGCTATGCTCCACTTGCTCTCTCTCGCTCCGCTAGCCTATGTTGCACTCTGCTAGTTTCTCCACTGCTAGCCTCTTACTATACACTCTGCTAACTTCTCTACTGCTAGTCTACTCACACTCACACTTAGGATTCCGCTAGCCTCTCTACTGCTAGCCTGTCTACCCTCACTCCTCCGACCTTACCCTTGCCTCCAGCAGGGGATCAGCCAACACCGCTGGAGAGGATGAGATGTGGAGAATGGGGTCCCGGACTTCTCTTGAATTCACTCTTGTCTTGACTACAACCAACTCAACCCCTCTGCCTCATACATTCCCCTTTTATCCTCCTCCTCATTAAGTGCCCCCAGATGGCCCTCATTAAGCCGGCGTCCTCCCCACGCCTCACACACGTGTTCTCCCCCTTTTCACCACTATCTCTCGCCTACGTGGCGCCTACTCCACGTTTGCATTTGCAGCCAGCCAATCACTGCCTCTTTCCCTAATTGCTGGCGTCTCTCTGTCTGCTGTCAATCAGGCCACCCGTCTGCACCTGCTTATCCTTAGCTGACCTCACTGTCTGCAACCCCGTACGTAATGCAACTGCTGTTTGCAAACCCTGCGCGCGTTACGCTACTACAGACGTAGTAAATAAAATGCATGGTGAGAAAACACTTTAAGATGCGGCGGAGAAAGCATGATGAAAATAGCATTGCAAGATGCCTCTGCAGTGGGAAATGCTGGCCGGAGGTGGGCAAAGATGGTAAAAATGCATGATCTTTTTCTTCAACCGAGCACATTTATCAAGGGGAATTCTAAAAGCCATGATGATACGGACAAGGGATAAGAATGTGCTTCTTTTGTTGGGTGTATTTTAAATGTGAAAAAACAATCTTACATTTTTCACAAGTTTGTTAAGAACAGGACGGGAACATTGTATTTTGGCCTATACTCGTGGTCATTAATGTACTTTTCTGTTTCACACGAACACGTCTCTCTCACCATTCATTATTTAGGATTTCTGTCAAAGGGCATCGCGTATTAAAGAACATGACCTCCTTCTTTGCACCTTTATGATTTGGTTGCATGAACATTTCATGAAGTAGACCGGTGTTAAATCAATCATGTTCACGAGTCAAATGTTAGAGTTCTAACACATTGTGTCACACTTTCTTTTTCTATACCACATGCAGTGCTAACAATGTCGACAACTAAATTACTACCCCAGTGTGCTTTATAATGACATCGTATGGGTACGGTAAAGTCACTTCAATGTCAACCGCCTGAATTAGTAATCCCAGATAAAAAAAATACACCAACATGTAAATGAGTATTTGTCTCGTGCTCGGATAATAATGATTTATTTTTTTAAATACAGAATTCTGTTCAAAAAAGAAACCTTACCCAGACTATATTGCACTCACATTTCTTGTGTGGGTGTTCAACAAATTGTGTTAAAGTGGAATCCTCATTCAAATTCACGAACCTCATACAGAGTACTGATCACATATGTTAATGGTTAGACAGTGCCTGTGGAGATTTTTTGCCAGCAGTCATTCATGAGCTGTGTTAGTTATACGTACTGTACTTGTTCAGATTTTTGTTCATATTAATAACATATTGTGCACTGAAGCTAAACTTGATTAAAATGATCCAACGAATACTTCAGAAAGGTCCACACTTCCCATAAGCTTTATAAAAAGAGACTGATGGTAACAAAAAGGTTCAAGAAAATAATGTTCAATGCCCCGCTGTCAATAAAATAGATATTATCTTTCTCATGGATAACATTTACTAATTGTCAGCTGCTTACAGGAAGAAACATCTATCGTAGTTGGGATACACTCAGTGCCATGCTGATATTAATTTCAGAAGTATGCAAAGTCAAAAGTTAGATTTGGTACTTTCAGAGAAAACGTGGGACAAAAATAAGTAATTAACCACGTGTTGGTGCACGAGCGAGACCAACAGTGTCCATCTGGTGGGTCTGGCATCTTGTGGCCCATGAGGACAAGAGGTCCGTGTCTCTGCAGAATGGCTCTCAAAGCCAATTATGGGCCTTAGAACCAGCATGCTTCTTAATTAGATTTTGTTTGCAGCTCTAAATTGTTTTTTTTAAACCACTGTCCATAAACCAAGGGTTTCCACTGGTTGCCACTCACTTAATCAACCACAGTTGTGTGTATCACACGTCGTACATCCACGTTATTTTGTTATGAAAAAAAACAGATTGAATTGCATCATACGTGATCATTATTAATCAACACAGTAATCTAAATAGACACAAGCGGTTACATTTTGCATTTTAAACTCAGAGGTCTGGCTGAGCCCATCACTGAAGAGTACGTAGTCTGGTCTTTGCACTCAGAGAGCAAGGTTCACCACAGTGTCTCCATCGCATTGATGTGGCTTTTTGTTCTAGCAGACAGCACCCGTGACCAAGAAGAGCCAGTGGTGAGGGACCACGGGGAGCTTTGCCCTGAGAGCCTCCAGAACTATTGTCGCAACGGACAATGCCATTATTCGCACACGCAACGCCATGCCTCCTGCATGTGAGCAACACACGCACCACATGTGAGCCATACACTCAGGCACAAAGATCTTCTGCTCGTCCCCACTCTTGTGACAGGTGCCATTAGTGAGCAACTATTTGACCCTAAAATGCATCATGTCCACTGTGGTTTTCTGCTGACAGTTATGCAATTATATTAAATATATTCAAAACATTTGGGAGATTTCTTTGGCTCCTAAGGTCACATAAAGCCACACCAGGGGTAATCGTAGTCAGCCTTCATATTCCTGGCGCTGACATTAATAATGCCACACAAATGTATAATTGTAATCTGGGTTAAAGTAGGGAAGACACTCAGGTTTGGACACCTATTTGCCAATGCTAAGTATAGATTTTGTTTATATTCTGCACAACGACACAAATTATTCTATGTCATATATATTGTATAAATCTCTGTTGAACTCGGACCTATAATTAAAATAGAGGGTCCTTGCCTAGAACATCTGGCAATGCATTAATTCAAGCAAGCCTGGCTCTGCTAATGAGAAACTATGTGAAAACTGGTCCATGGGTTGCTGAAGTGATGCACTCCCAGAAGACCGTTAGCCCAATTGGTTGAGAAAGAAACACTTTAAATATACAAAGGAGACATTGATTATCTTTTTGGTTATTTACAGTCTCCACGACAAAACAAAATTATTATGCTGTGTTACATATAGACGAAGCTAAAGCTAGGATCACGAGGAGGGTGATGCCATGAGCTCACCAATACGATGCCACTCCTCACTATCCTCGAGTGCACTCAATCAATTGTGCACACTTGCATGCACTCGCGCATCATGCGAACGCTAAATAACACTGAAGTCAAATTAATGGCGACCTTCTCGTCTTCCACCCCAACCCCGTTGGGCCCCCTTCCCATACGCGGCTCGTGGCGCGGGCAGCTGCGACCCAGGCTTTCTGGGCCAGCAGTGTGAGAGCGAGGAGAGCAGCATGCTGTACGTGATCCCTGACGGAGACAACCTCCGCTACGTGCTCATCGCCTCGGTGGTGGGCGCCGTGCAGATCACCATCACGTTCGCGCTCGTCGTCTGCGTGGCCAGGTGCGTTCCCAAGCCAGGCGCCATGGTTCAGTTCACGCATGGCAATCTTATTTTTGTTGTTACAGAGCAACTTTTGCTAAGACTCGTCAAGGTGATGTCACTGTATATACCTGCCTGACAGCTCTGCCGATGTAAGCGGTAGGATGCTCAAGTCGTGAACCCTTCATTGTACCGTTGTACCTTCGTAGCACGTTGTAAAAAGAATTGTCGTAAAAATATGCATCGCGATTTTTTTTTGCTTTGAAAATCGTGCAAATGATTTCAAACTCGGCAGCTTCAGCTTAAATTAATGAGGTTGAAGACTATGAGTCTCTGTCTTCTCTCAGTTCAGCATCACTTGCCTGCTGCTATTTTGAGCAAAAACAGTGAGATGGTGTGGATTGGATTGGTTTTTTTTCGGCATAAAAAAACCCAACAAAGACCGTGTCTAATGTGGCTGGACTCCACACCGTCAACCATCCACTCCTTTGCGTCGAGAAGTGACATCACTTGTAGTTACATTTCTAGGCTTATTGAGGACTTGAGGTGCTCTGAGCATAAATCTGAGCATATTACTTGTTTGAATGGGTGACACTTGCTGTGTGTTGCTCTGTAAAAATTGCAACATGGGGATTAGACTTATAGCATCATCAATGATCAGTTGGCAATATTAAATAATGATTAAGTATCATTCGGGACAATATTATTTACACATTAAATAATTATTCCTCATTATAGTTAGGTCTCTAAGTATAGGAATGAGGGTTAGCATATACTGAGAATCTCATCACTCAGCTCATAGGAAATTGAAACAAATCCTAACAGTACCTGTATTCTCAGTCTCCATCTTTACAGTTAACTTCACATTGAAGTTTATTTTATGTGTTACAAGGATGATCCCGTTTAGCCAGGTGCCCAGCTATTTTAAAAGGGAGATCCGTGGTGCGTGAGCACATCAGCAGCAGCAACAACAACAACGACAAAAACATCGATTTTGCATGGAACGAGTACAGGGTCCTTGAGGAATACAGTATTGCACAACTAACGAACGAGGAATTTAACGTTGAATTTACCCATAATCCTTCCGATAGCTTCTAAACAACAAATGAATACCTACCATCAGTACTGGGTTGAAACATCCTTCCCATTGCTATCACTGCAGCAAACTTGCGTAGTGAATTCTGGGATTTATTTTAGACACACACCTGCATCCTTCGATATTAGAAATTAAATGTTGCATTTATATTACTATTTATTTTGTAATATGTAAATATGTTTATTTCGTTATGCAAAAAGGTTCCATTGCATTACCTTAGATTTAGTTTATACGCATTTCTGAACGTGGGCAGTGAAATTCTGAAAAAATACCTAATTAGTATTGTGTAGCTTGGTACAGTAGTGCATAACATTGATATTTTAACCGAGTTACAAAAACGGGTTTCAATGTATTTTAAAAAGGCAAAAAAAACATTTCATTAATCCATTACATCAGGAGACAGACTTGACAGCTTGACATTCATACCTTTCCTGTAAATAACGCAACATTGTGGACTTTAAATCGTAAACCCGTACTCTTAGACAGCAGTTATCCAGCTTAAGGCATCCTGGAGTCTTATAGGCATTCCTATTGAAAGCTAACCCGAAACTTGTTTTTGTTATAAGCCCATTCATTTGTTGCCTTGCCTCCAGGTCACTCTGCCACCAGTCTTACCTCATCGTGGGGGAAATATAATAAGTAACAAAATAGATTAGCAGACAACGTCTCCTTCATATTACCTCAGAATCAGTCACCAGCAGCAGCAGCAACAAAAATCCTTTACCGCAATAAAGCCATCTGTATCCCTGGGCATAAAATCCTCTTCTACGACTTCTGCGTTTCATTTCAAGCCCCACTGCCTGTGCGGGTTTTTATACTAAGATCACGTTTAGCTGTCTGGGTCGTGTATTTTTCTCCCTCTGGTTATTTTTTTTCTTCCTCCGTATATATATAGCTTTTTATTTGTTGCTTGGCTCCAACACAAAAAATAATACTTTCTCTGCGGGAAAAACAAGGAGAGGCTTAGATGATCTGAATCTGCCCCAAGGTATATTTTCATTGGATTTGGGGACCCAGAAAACTCCAACATTGGCATTGTCCCAGTGGGCCTTGTGCATGGGAATGGGTGCCGATATATGGAATGTCACTCTTGATCAGAATGTAACATTATTTTTTCGTGGGGTTTCGTCGTCGGTGGATTACAACACATTGATTGATTTAAACACATCAAGCTCATAGATATAGTACAGGTGTAGGGGTGTTAGAGAGAGGGCCCGTTATGTATGGCAGTCTATGGGAAACAAACACAGTGGGCGGGGCTACGTGTGTGCACGGGGAGATGCCCTCTGCGACGTCCGAGCCAGACACCCTGGGGGGGGCTGGTTTGGCGTTATGATCCCCCGGGGCCCCACCCCTCAAGGAGGGTTGGGTATAAAAGGGGACGTTATAGGGGCTCGAGTTCAGTTATGTTATAGTTAACTAAGAAGACTGAAGACGTCTTAGATAGAGCCCTGGACTCCCCTCGTTCGATGTCCTTATCAGGGCCGAACAGGACTGAGCCAGCGGCGTGGTCCCGAAAGCCAGAGCCGGTGCTCTTCTAAGAGCTGGTCTGGGACTCCGGGTACCGGGCCCGACTTACCAGTGTCGGGCCAAGTAGCCTCCCCTAGCCCAGTAGTGGAGGACTGTGAGGCAGGCTAGGACTTAGCTAGGAAGTGTATCCTTAGCTAGTCGGGTGAGGGGGCCGATACCCCCTCCAGTGCTGTATGTCACATACGAGCTGTGTTAAATAAATATCCGTGTGCCTCCACCTCGGCGTCAAGTGTCTTCACCGGTACTTCACAGGTATTGGGAGTTTGTTTTGTTATTGGGAGGTATGTTTAATTTGTTTATTATCCAGGAACAAAACATCCCTTTATCAGCATGACACAAACAGCACCACTGACCTTCACTCCTGACTCAGTACAATCCGACGAAAGAGAGGATATGCCGACGTGTAGTGCTTAATTAAACAGAACATCTGTCGAGTCAGTCTAGCCTTTGTAGTCAAACAGCAAGCCAGGAATATCTTCAAAGCTAATTTTCACTCTTAGAGGGTCAGCTTCAACAGATTCTTGCATCACGTGTCTTTTATCCCTATAAATTATCTTTGCTAAATGTTCGAAAATAATTTACTTCGAATAACAAGGCTGTGCAATCTTCGTCGAGCATTCTTTGCTCTACAATATTATTCGCTTTTGAGATCAACCATTATGGATTTCCACGGACAGTCATCTCCACCGCATCTCTCCACCGTGTCACCTCTTCTGTCCCGCCTCTCCCCCTTCCCTTTTCTCTTCATCTCTCCAATTCTCCCCGATTTCCTTTCCCCTTTCCTCCTCGTGTCGTGGATACTTTCACGATCGTCCTTCCTTCAGAACGTCTCTTCTCTCCTGTATATTTGTTCACTTGTTCTTCCGAAAAGGTTTTCACACCCATAGGCATATTTTCCCTCCTTCTAGAAGAAGTCATGCATATGAAGCAACTGTTTATTCCCCTTGCAGAAGATTATATTTAGTGGAGCATAAATTCTAGATTTGAAGCTTTCGTGACTGCAATGATTCATATTCTTAGGTTTCTCAGTAAAGTCACGTAGGTAAAAACATAAAAAAGTAAAATAAAATAAAAATCACGACGTTTCGGAGGCAACACAAGCTTCCGTCTTCAGGTGGTACCGTCACAGCCACGACAGCTGTATCAAGTAAATGGAGCATCTTCCTCTTTTAGAAGCTGTGCAATTAGGTTTCATACAATTCTATTTGTTCGTTTTTGGGCAGTCTAGCATTTTTGGCAGAACCTTCACCTAAAGAGCCGTTATTTGAACACCCAAATTTAGTTTGACGTCTGTCCTTCATACCGAACAGTTGGTGGACCTTTGCAGAAAACATAGAGATTTGTAAATCGTACAGTAAATAGCCACTGTTTTCCACATGTCCTGGCAGCTAGTAATCCTCAAGACCTTCAAAGTCACCAAACCTAAATTCTCCACTGTGAACTTCTGACCTCGAAAAGTCTGTGCATTTATATGTCTTGGAATTGCTTTAACTTTAAACCTTTTTGGTCTTGGCAGCCTATTTTCCCTCTTACAGATATTATTTGATGTGTTCATTGAGGCTTGACACACTGTATAAGCAAGTTGCCATAGTGATTGCCTGTATGTTGATTGTGTTATTTTTTTGTTGTGGCCATGTTCTCTGGCGGTGCAGTGTCTTTAAATCCATACAAATTTTATGACTCAATATAAATTATTTAATTACATCTCCTGCCCTAACTGCTGTGGTAGCAAAATGTGCACGCACAGGCCAACCTCGCATGTGATAAAGCAATGTTCGGGATATTAATATCAAACTCGAACAGTTGCAGAGACTAAGGAACACAAATGTAACGAAGCAAGAACACGCCTGTTTTTCCCAATTGACATGAATACAAGAGTAAGTCATTAATTTATCCTGAACGGCAGATTACACAATGTATTTTTATTCATCTGAAAAAACAGCAAAATAACGATGTATCAGCCTTTGCATTGCTGTGCCTTCCGAGCTGTATTGGTAGCGATAATTTGCACTCTGCATACTGGTAACGATATCTTCCCAACAACTGCTGCTGTTGATAAAAGTGTGGCTATGTGTGCACGTACACTGTGCTGAGTGGGTGTGTGTGCTTATGGAGCAAAGCCTACAGTCCAATTAGTTTTCCCCATTTTATGACCCACTGTATACTTGGCAACACTATAAATAAAATAGGCTTGCCAGATAGAACCTGGTCAGCATAATGCAGTGAACTCCCAACATTCCGAGTTTTATTCCGAGCCATCGCTGACACCAGTGTCAATATCTGAACTGATCTTTTTCCCCCTCCTTCATCAACCTGCACTGACCAGTATGGTGACGTATGGTCAGAGAATCCCCATGGCCTTCATCCAGCAGTAAATTGACAAAAAGCTCAAAAT